GGAAGACCCCGGGCGTAGGGGAGCGGCGCCCCCCACCCCTGCCGAGGCTGCCCCCAGGGGCTGTGGCACCCTCCGGGGGGAGGGGAAGAGGAGGGAGACAACAGGCAAACTTTTATAATTGACTTTTTATTAAGATTATAAATTTAAACAAATCTGAACAGTTTTACCCGGTGATATACAAGTCCATATGCACAAAAATACAAGGTTACAAACAAAGAAAAAGGGGGGAGAGAGAGAGAGAGAGAGAGAGAGAGAGAGAGAGAGAGAGAGAAAGACACAGCGTTTGGAAACGCGTCCTTAATACACATAGTGCTTATACCGTGGGGGCGAGGGGGGGCTGCAAAAAAACTACCTTTTTACAACAAAAGGTTTTGTTTTTTGTGGTTGTGTGTGTGTGTGTTTCGTTGTTTCTTTCTTTTTAAAGTCCAAATATCAAAAAGAAAAAAAAAAAAAAAAAGAGAGAGAACCAAACAAACAAACGGACCGACCCGCCCCGGCGGGCAGGAGACACCACAGGACACGGATCTCTGCACAAGAGCGGACAATGCTGGCTGGAGCAGCGCGGGGGCGGGAGCCAGGACAGCCCAACTTTTAAAAAGAAGGAGAAGAAAAACAAAAAAAAAAAAAAAAAGAAAAAAAAGAGAGAAAGAAAAAAAAAAAAAAAAAAAAAAAAAAAAGAAAAAAAAGAGAGAGAGAAAAAAGGGGAAAGAAAAGAGCAAAGCAACCGCGCGGCGGCGGCGGCGGGAGAGGCGGCGGCGCCCCAGGGAGACGCGAGACGGAGCTTTACCTGGGGCGGCCGCGCACACCTAGGGGATGGGACACAAGGGGGGGAAGGGGTGCAGCGCTGTGCATGACGGGAGATGTAGTCCCCCCGTGCCGTGCCGCGGGGCCGGGGCGCTGCAGGTCCCAGGGAGCAGCGGGCAGCGCCCCCCCCCCCCCCCCCCCCCCCCGCTCCGGACGGGGCGGGAAGGGGCAAAGGGGAAAGGCTGTCGCTTCTGCCCGGTCGGAGCCCGCTCCCTCCAGGGAGGGGAGCGCGGGGCGCCCCGGGAACGGGCTGCCCGGCAGGGGGAAAGGGGCCAGCACCCGGCTCGCGGGCTGCCTCCCTCCCTCCCTCCCCGGCCGGCGGCGAGCGCAGCTCCCCTTGCCTCCCAGCCCCGGCTGCAGAGTTTCCCGTTCCCCAGCTCCGGGAGAGGGAGGGGAGGGGAGGCGGGTGCAGCTCTCCCACCTCCCCGGCCC